GTGTTAACCAGTGGCCTCCAGGTGTTCATAAAGCCACAAAGTCACTTGAAGTTAAAAACAAATCTCAGTCGTTATTTATATTCCATAACCTTTGACCTCATATCCTTTGGGATTGCTTTTAGTGATGAAAGGTGCTTTAAGAATATATATATATATATGTGTGTATAACCATAACCTTTGACCTCATATCCTTTGGGATTGCTTTTAGTGATGAAAGGTGCTTTAAGAATATATATATATCTATATGTGTGTATAACCATAACCTTTGACCTCATACCCTTTGGGATTGCTTTTAGTGATGAAAGGTGCTTTAAGAATATATATATATCTATATGTGTGTATAACCATAACCTTTGACCTCATACCCTTTGGGATCGCTTTTAGTGATGAAAGGTGCTTTAAGAATATATATATATCTATATGTGTGTATAACCATAACCTTTGACCTCATACCCTTTGGGATCGCTTTTAGTGATGAAAGGTGCTTTAAGAATCAAATGTATTATTATTATTGTTGTTATGAATCATGCTGAGGAACAGCTGTTAGCTCTGCTTAGCACAGTCAATAACCTGAGAGGGTCCAAGGATCATCGGATCAATCACTCATGAGCCACATGTTGGTGTGAGGTAAGGGTCAGCAGCTGCTACTAACATGTACTATCATCATCATCATCATCATCATCATCATCATCATCATCTTCATCATAAAACAGCTGTTCTGCTCAGCTGGATTTGGCCACGTCTCCCATCAGAGAGGCTCCAGATGTAACTCTGAGGTCTGTCTACCCCTCAGGTGAGTCTCTGAGGCAAGTTAAGGGTCTCTGAGGCAAGTTAATGGTCTCTCAGGTGAGTTAAGGGTCTCTGAGGCAAGTTAAGGGTCTCTGAGGCAAGTTAAGGGTCTCTGAGGCGAGTTAAGGGTCTCTCAGGCGAGTTAAGGGTCTCTCAGGTGAGGGTCCAGGTACATTAAGGTGTATATATTGATAGTTATAGATCAGCTGTTGGACTCACGTTGGATTTGGCCACGTTCCCCCGCAGAGTGATGTTCTTGCTGTGCTTCTCGTTGGCCATGCGGATCCTCTGTTTGGCCACCATCTTCTTCTCTTGAGTGGTTTCTCACTGGTTCCCGGTGGTTCTGATGGTTCTGATGGTTCTGGTGGTTCTGGGGAGTTTTCCTGCGTCTTCTTCTCTGGTGGAGGACTGCAGACTGGGAGCCGCTTCTCTTGTCTACGTCCTCAAAAAGAGTAAGTCCCGCCTCCTCAGCCCCACCGGAAAAGCTGCTTCCGTCATCAAGTTACCTGCTGTCAAAGCGAGACGAACTTCCGGTGTGGTCCTCCAAAATATATTTAAGGAACACTGCTTCGCTTTAAAACTGGTTTCCAGGAATAGTCATTATATGATTAAGATCAAAGGACAGTACAGTAAAGTAAGTATTATCGTATATGTACTTATAAAAGTAGCTTAACACCACGTATTTAATACTATTTAACTGATCTCCACACTGGGCGCTTTTACTCTGACACCGGAAGTGACCTCTCTGCACGCGGCACTCCAACAGCTTAACGCATTTCTAAAACACGAAACATTTCTAAAAACAGTTTTTTTATAATGAATGGATGAAATCGGTTTAGATATCAATCAGAAACCCCGCGGTTTGTTTCAGAATAAAAAAATATAAACATTTTTCAGATGTTTTGACTGACGTGTCGCGGACCGTACGCTGATGTGGCACTGGAAGCCCCGCCCACTTCCAATACGTGTTTGCACTGACGTATTTCTGCTGACGTAGGGTTTACTTCTTCTTCCGGTTCACACAAACATGGCGCAACCCATCCCGCTGTTAGCAGGTGGGTAACTTTTTAATGTTTACTTTAATAAACACGTTGTTGTTGTTATTGTTTGTGTTGTTAGAGTAGCTGCAGACTGAGAGCTGCGCGTGGTGCTGAACAGAAACACCCTGCACCAAACTCAAAATCTGGTGTTTTAATTTAAACAGATGTATTTACAGCCTAAAGGTAAAGGTAAAGACTTCAGGTAAAGACTTCAGGTGAATCAGTGAAGACGTCGGAGTCATTCGGCTTTAAATAAATACATAAATAACCTTCAATATATGAAATAATCCTCTGAAATCTCTCCATGCTGTTCCTCTCTGTACCAGCGTCTGTGAGGAAAACAGTGATGATTTGGAGATAAAAAGTTAAAATCCAGTCAGAATATAAATGATATTTCAGCCGAATTAAATAACAGCTTCTGATGTTTCAGGAAAGGTCTTCAGAGTGGTTTTATTCCACAGGTTTCTCATATTTTAAACAGAAACTGTGTTTAAATAATAGATTTCCTGACAGAGTCTGGAGACCACCGATCAGTTCAACATCTGCTGTTTTTATTTATTTTAACACATGTTTTATTTTATATCTTAAATCATCTGCTGTTAACTAAATAGTTTATTATTAATAATACATATATTTAATGTTTCAGTGCGAGGGTCAGACGGCACTTCTCTGCTGTCCGGACCCACCTGTGAGCCGCTGGCCAACTTCAACAGGTAACACACACACACACACACACACACACACACACACACACACACACACACACACACACACACACACGCACACACACACACACACACACACAAAAAACTGAATAAAGGTTAATCTTATCTTATGTATGTATGTCTGTGTGTGTCTGTCTGTCTGTGTGTTTCTGTCTGTCTGTGTGTGTGTGTGTGTGTCTGTGTGTGTCTGTCTGTGTGTGTGTGTGTGTGTCAGGGATGCGCGGCCCTCCAGGTGTGTGACCTTCAGCCGAGATGGGTCTCTGTTCGGCTGGTGCAACGGACACAGGTCACTATTACACTCTCACAATAACTATATATATATAATCATATTAATAAATACAACAATCAATAATATGTTTTCCTGTGCGTCAGTGTGTCTGTGGTGCGGTGTGCAGACGGATCCCTGCTCTCGACCTTTGACCTCCCCAAGACCTCCGTGCTGAAGATCTCTCCTCAGAACACCGTGCTGGCTACCTGGCAGCCCTACAGCAGTGTGTAGCACACACACACACACACACACACACACACACACACACACACACACCTGGCAGCCCTACAGCAGTGTGTAGCACACACACACACACACACACACACACACACACACACACACACACCTGGCAGCCCTACAGCAGTGTGTAGCACACACACACACACACACCTGGCAGCCCTACAGCAGTGTGTAATACACACACACACACACACACACACACACACACACACACCTGGCAGCCCTACAGCAGTGTGTAGCACACACACACACACACACACACACACACACACACACACACACACACACCTGGCAGCCCTACAGCAGTGTGTAGCACACACACACACACACACACACCTGGCAGCCCTATAGCAGTGTGTAATACACACACACACACACACACACACACACACACACACACACCTAGCAGCCCTACAGCAGTGTGACTACATTCATATACATGTATAAGGATATAGAAAATAATACGCGTGTGTTTGTGTGTGTGTGTGTGTGTGTGTGTGTGTATGTATGTGTGCAGAGGCTCAGGACAGTGCTCAGGGAGACCCTAACCTCCAGCTGTGGGACGTACAGAGCGGTCAGCTGCTCAAAGCTCTGTACCAGAAGAAGATGGAGTCATGGTGAGCACTGACACACCCTCTCACACACACACACTCTCACACACACTCAGACTCTCATGCTGCGCTGTGATTGGCTGCAGGTGTCCCAGCTGGTCTGCAGATGAGCAGATTGCAGTGCGGAGCGTCAACAACGAGCTGCACTTCTACGAGAACAACGACTTCAGTAAGACCCCCCTCCGTCATAACACCAGAGGCCTGTACGACCAAGCCAGTTCAACATAACCTGGATCTCTCGAAGTTAACCGGCTTACCTAGCCCCAAACACACGCGCTCTCGCTAAGCGGTCCTACGACGCTGGTTATCAACTCGTTAACTCAAGCCAGGGTTTCTCTGTCCGGCTGAGTGCGCGTTCACATGAAAGGGGCGGGGCTAGCAACATTTGACCAATCACAAACATGGAGAAGCGCACTGACAGCACAGCGTCATACTTCCTGAATGAAAAGTCAACTATAATATTAGACATATGAAGAAGTTAAACTTTAAACATCCATGACTTAAACACTTGATCCAGGATCAAAGCCACAGAGCTGCACCTGCAAGGTGAATACATATGAAGGTAGATATGGTGCAAAATGCGAGAGCTTGTAAAACCTGATGTGAGCACTTGCAGAAAAAGATCTGAGCTTGTGTGCATACATTTACACTTGTATGAAATATCCTTGTATCTGTGAACCACTTCTGAAGTCACAGAAGAAGAAAAAAAGTGTTGTAGCTTGTAGAAAACAAATTAACTTAGTGATGAAATGTTCACTTGCAGAAAAATACATATTTTTTAAATATATTTTCCATTACAACTGCAACTTGGTTATTACAACCTCTCAAATCAGTCATTACAACTTCACGAGTCTGCTCTGTGGCAGTATACATCCACCAACCTGCTCTGTGGCAGTATACATCCACCAACCTGCTCTGTGGCAGTATACATCCACCAACCTGCTCTGTGGCAGAATACATCCACGAGTCTGCTCTGTGGCAGTATACATCCACGAGTCTGCTCTGTGGCAGAATACATCCACCAACCTGCTCTGTGGCAGAATACATCCACGAGTCTGCTCTGTGGCAGAATACATCCACCAACCTGCTCTGTGGCAGAATACATCCACGAGTCTGCTCTGTGGCAGAATACATCCACAAGTCTGCTCTGTGGCAGTATACAACCACCAACCTGCTCTGTGGCAGAATACATCCACGAGTCTGCTCTGTGGCAGAATACATCCACGAGTCTGCTCTGTGGCAGTATACATCCACGAGTCTGCTCTGTGGCAGTATACATCCACGAACCTGCTCTGTGGCAGAATACATCCACGAGTCTGCTCTGTGGCAGAATACATCCACGAGTCTGCTCTGTGGCAGTATACATCCACCAACCTGCTCTGTGGCAGAATACATCCACGAACCTGCTCTGTGGCAGAATACATCCACGAGTCTGCTCTGTGGCAGAATACATCCACGAGTCTGCTCTGTGGCAGAATACATCCACGAGTCTGCTCTGTGGCAGAATACATCCACCAACCTGCTCTGTGGCAGAATACATCCACGAACCTGCTCTGTGGCAGAATACATCCACCAACCTGCTCTGTGGCAGAATACATCCACCAACCTGCTCTGTGGCAGAATACATCCACGAGTCTGCTCTGTGGCAGAATACATCCACCAACCTGCTCTGTGGCAGAATACATCCACCAACCTGCTCTGTGGCAGAATACATCCACGGGTCTGCTCTGTGGCAGAATACATCCACCAACCTGCTCTGTGGCAGAATACATCCACCAACCTGCTCTGTGGCAGAATACATCCACGAACCTGCTCTGTGGCAGAATACATCCACGAGTCTGCTCTGTGGCAGTATACATCCACGGGTCTGCTCTGTGGCAGAATACATCCACCAACCTGCTCTGTGGCAGAATACATCCACCAACCTGCTCTGTGGCAGAATACATCCACGGGTCTGCTCTGTGGCAGAATACATCCACCAACCTGCTCTGTGGCAGAATACATCCACCAACCTGCTCTGTGGCAGTATACATCCACCAACCTGCTCTGTGGCAGAATACATCCACGAACCTGCTCTGTGGCAGAATACATCCACGAACCTGCTCTGTGGCAGAATACAACCACGAACCTGCTCTGTGGCAGAATACATCCACGAACCTGCTCTGTGGCAGAATACAACCACGAACCTGCTCTGTGGCAGAATACAACCACGAACCTGCTCTGTGGCAGAATACATCCACCAACCTGCTCTGTGGCAGAATACATCCACGAACCTGCTCTGTGGCAGAATACATCCACGAACCTGCTCTGTGGCAGAATACAACCACGAACCTGCTCTGTGGCAGAATACATCCACCAACCTGCTCTGTGGCAGAATACATCCACGAACCTGCTCTGTGGCAGAATACATCCACCAACCTGCTCTGTGGCAGAATACATCCACGAACCTGCTCTGTGGCAGAATACATCCACCAACCTGCTCTGTGGCAGAATACATCCACGAACCTGCTCTGTGGCAGAATACATCCACCAACCTGCTCTGTGGCAGAATACATCCACGAGTCTGCTCTGTGGCAGAATACATCCACGAACCTGCTCTGTGGCAGAATACATCCACCAACCTGCTCTGTGGCAGTATACATCCACCAACCTGCTCTGTGGCAGAATACATCCACCAATCTGCTCTGTGGCAGAATACATCCACGAGTCTGCTCTGTGGCAGAATACATCCACGAGTCTGCTCTGTGGCAGAATACATCCACGAGTCTGCTCTGTGGCAGAATACATCCACCAACCTGCTCTGTGGCAGAATACATCCACGAGTCTGCTCTGTGGCAGAATACATCCACGAGTCTGCTCTGTGGCAGAATACATCCACGAGTCTGCTCTGTGGCAGAATACATCCACCAACCTGCTCTGTGGCAGAATACAACCACCAACCTGCTCTGTGGCAGAATACATCCACCAACCTGCTCTGTGGCAGAATACATCCACCAACCTGCTCTGTGGCAGAATACATCCACGAACCTGCTCTGTGGCAGAATACATCCACCAACCTGCTCTGTGGCAGAATACATCCACGAACCTGCTCTGTGGCAGAATACATCCACCAACCTGCTCTGTGGCAGAATACATCCACGAACCTGCTCTGTGGCAGAATACATCCACCAACCTGCTCTGTGGCAGAATACATCCACCAACCTGCTCTGTGGCAGAATACATCCACCAACCTGCTCTGTGGCAGAATACATCCACGAACCTGCTCTGTGGCAGAATACATCCACGGGTCTGCTCTGTGGCAGAATACATCCACCAACCTGCTCTGTGGCAGAATACATCCACCAGTCTGCTCTGTGGCAGAATACATCCACGAGTCTGCTCTGTGGCAGAATACATCCACGAGTCTGCTCTGTGGCAGAATACATCCACGAACCTGCTCTGTGGCAGAATACATCCACGAACCTGCTCTGTGGCAGAATACATCCACGAGTCTGCTCTGTGGCAGAATACATCCACCAACCTGCTCTGTGGCAGAATACATCCACGAGTCTGCTCTGTGGCAGAATACATCCACCAACCTGCTCTGTGGCAGAATACATCCACCAACCTGCTCTGTGGCAGAATACATCCACCAACCTGCTCTGTGGCAGAATACATCCACCAACCTGCTCTGTGGCAGAATACATCCACGAGTCTGCTCTGTGGCAGAATACAACCACCAACCTGCTCTGTGGCAGAATACATCCACGAGTCTGCTCTGTGGCAGAATACATCCACGAGTCTGCTCTGTGGCAGAATACATCCACGAACCTGCTCTGTGGCAGAATACATCCACGAGTCTGCTCTGTGGCAGAATACATCCACGAGTCTGCTCTGTGGCAGTATACATCCACGAACCTGCTCTGTGGCAGTATACATCCACCAACCTGCTCTGTGGCAGTATACATCCACGAACCTGCTCTGTGGCAGTATACATCCACCAACCTGCTCTGTGGCAGAATACATCCACGAACCTGCTCTGTGGCAGTATACATCCACCAACCTGCTCTGTGGCAGAATACATCCACGAACCTGCTCTGTGGCAGAATACATCCACGAACCTGCTCTGTGGCAGAATACATCCACCAACCTGCTCTGTGGCAGAATACATCCACGAACCTGCTCTGTGGCAGTATACAACCACTAACCTGCTCTGTGGCAGAATACATCCACCAACCTGCTCTGTGGCAGAATACATCCACGAACCTGCTCTGTGGCAGAATACATCCACCAACCTGCTCTGTGGCAGAATACATCCACTAACCTGCTCTGTGGCAGAATACATCCACCAGTCTGCTCTGTGGCAGAATACATCCACCAACCTGCTCTGTGGCAGAATACATCCACGAACCTGCTCTGTGGCAGAATACATCCACGAGTCTGCTCTGTGGCAGAATACATCCACGAGTCTGCTCTGTGGCAGTATACATCCACGAACCTGCTCTGTGGCAGTATACATCCACGAACCTGCTCTGTGGCAGTATACATCCACCAACCTGCTCTGTGGCAGAATACATCCACCAACCTGCTCTGTGGCAGAATACATCCACCAACCTGCTCTGTGGCAGTATACATCCACCAACCTGCTCTGTGGCAGAATACATCCACGAACCTGCTCTGTGGCAGAATACATCCACGAACCTGCTCTGTGGCAGAATACATCCACCAACCTGCTCTGTGGCAGAATACATCCACGAACCTGCTCTGTGGCAGTATACAACCACTAACCTGCTCTGTGGCAGAATACATCCACCAACCTGCTCTGTGGCAGAATACATCCACGAACCTGCTCTGTGGCAGAATACATCCACCAACCTGCTCTGTGGCAGAATACATCCACTAACCTGCTCTGTGGCAGAATACATCCACCAGTCTGCTCTGTGGCAGAATACATCCACGAGTCTGCTCTGTGGCAGAATACATCCACGAACCTGCTCTGTGGCAGAATACATCCACGAACCTGCTCTGTGGCAGAATACATCCACGAACCTGCTCTGTGGCAGAATACATCCACGAGTCTGCTCTGTGGCAGAATACATCCACGAACCTGCTCTGTGGCAGAATACATCCACGAGTCTGCTCTGTGGCAGTATACATCCACCAACCTGCTCTGTGGCAGAATACATCCAC